TTTTGAGTTTAGAACAAGCATTAGATTGCACAGAGAAGTCTACAGGTCATCAAAGGCAGCCTGAAGTCTGGATAAGGCCTGGTTTGCAGTGGAGCCGATAGCATACAAAATGGTATCATCAGCATAAAAATGTGCTTTACAATGTTCATTACATTTATTTAAGTACAAAGTAAAAAAGCAAAGGGCCTAATATAGATCCATGAGGAACACCTTTATCAACCACCTGAAGACTTGATTTGATGCAAGAGTTGAATTCTATCGGTAAGATATAATTTAAACAATGATAAGCAGAAACGTTGGCTGATTTACCAATGTCATCTACAGCAACAGTTACTGCAGTTATGATGCTGTGGGCAGGTCTGAAGCCTGACTGATGTGACTGAAGGACATTATGTTAGTTGACTAATGATTCTAAGATTTTGGACAACTGGACAGCTTGGAGATAGGCTCATAACTGTTAAGGTCACTAGTCTCACCACTTTAATGCAGTGGACATGCTTTAGTGGTTTTCTATAGTGAAAGTATTTTATCTGTGATAAACTAAAAATGTGTACCAGCAGAGCATTAGTAATAGGAGCACTGAAGTGAATCAAAGGTGACCTCACTAGAAGACTTTCTTGTGTTTAACTTTGTCAAAGAACTATATACCTCTGCATAAGTGACAGTCTGAAATGGAGCTGATTCATGGTATTGGAAGTTCCCATTATAGAGCACATAAGGAAATGTAAAATAATGACAGACTGAGATTTTATTTCTCTAAAGCTATAGTCATGATATTATCACTGGCTCCATCCTGCCAAGTGATACATGTGCTTGTTGTGCCAGAATAAGCAGCGTGTGAATAAAAGAGCCAGACTAGCTAACCAGACTTGATTGTTTGATATTTCCTCCACAAAATGATTTCCCACTTGTCATTTTGCCTTGCTTGATTAATAACAGAACTCAGGCAAATCATTTTAATGAGGATTATATCACTAAGAAACATGTCTGTAGCATCCTGCATCGCATTGCCAAAGCAAACAATGCCTTTGTGTGAAAGAGGGAGAATGAACCTGGCATGTATGTGAAGCTGAGAGGTTTTGTATTTGACATTTGAGGAAATATTTTCTGCATCTCAAATCTTGCTCCTTTGAACTGGAGAGTCAACCCCTCAAGCTGGTTTTGTTCTGCAAAAAAATTGGAAGATTTTGCAAAGGCATTGATGCAGTTTTTGCTATTATAGACTGTGCAAGTGTGTATAAGGAAATGATTGTGTGAGTCTTTGTGCTATACATCTGTGTGCCTGTGAATGTTTATGTGTTAGAGCTCTGTCATCAGAGATTCTTCAGAAACCTGTCATCAGCCATGTTAATGCTGGCTTGAAGGCAAACAAGCTTAACTGAGGAACTTACAATAACAATACTTGAAAAATGGAACAAAGTCTCTTTTTACAGTCTGCCCAACCAAGGCAGGGTTGTTTATCACTTTGAGGAGATGTTTGGTTGCCCCCCTTGTATGTCTGTTTCGGGCCCTTAAGCTGATTTAGCTACACAACCACATTCTCTTCAAAGCATGTCAAGCTTTTCCACGCACACTAATGAGGTAAATGGATGGCTTTTGTTTTCTCCACAGTTTTAACTTCTCCCAAAGTGCTCTCATGACTTACAGAAGAACTGTTGCGGAAATCGGCCTCAAGCGTTCAATCAAATTTTTAACTCTACAGAGTGATCAATTTCTGCTGCAATGTTCATCTGTCACACAAACATACACATTGTATGTGCCAGAACACCAACAAAAGAAGTAAGCCTGCTAAAAATGCTAACATGACAAAAATACTGCTGTGAGTGAGAATCACAGAATCATATAATTTACTGTATATATTCAAAGCACTATACGGTACCTACTAAGATAACTCTGTCTTTTGGAACTGGCACTGCGTGACTATGTATTACTGAAGAATAAAAACACCAAAATAAAAAAGCCCTTATCTCAAAATGACAATGTTTACTTCTAGACAAGAGACAGTGCTTTGAGAGATATTTACAGATGCGTGGCTTGTGTGGGTGATGTGAAGATACTTACCTTCAGCATTTTAAATTTGACTCCCAACCCTTATTTACCTATTGTAAGTTTGTGTTTTTTGTTTTAAGTGCAAAACTGACAAAGGTGTAGAATTTCTGGAAATACAAAGTTAAAGTAGTAAAAGCAGAAAGAATTACTATTTATTCTTATAGTTAAAATGACATTACATGTAATTGAACTACAACCAAAAATAAGGACATTTATGACATTAACAGTTTATTTCACAGTGCTCTTGCTGTTCATGTATTTAAATGTACTGAAGTTGCATATATATTTTCCAAAGATATGGTAACCTCTGCAATACCTCAAGATACTGTAGCTGCAAAGTGTTGAATCCGATATGTATTTCTGGTTGGCGGCTCCTACCCGATGCTACAGTGGCTGTGAAATGTATATCAAATACCTCTGAAGCCACAGGATGATTAAGATGCTTCCTATGTTTAAGGAAATTTCCGAAAAAAGTCAAGTTTTTTTTTCTTTAATTGCCTCTTGCACTTGCAATTAAATCAAGTAATATTGCTTGTGTTGTAGTTAAACACAGTCAACAAAGTTAATTAAAACTCTATTAAGCTTTACTATAAATTGTACAGTGTTTTGATCTCATAAAATGTATAAACATTGCTTGATCCCACTGGCAATCAACACCTTGTTCTGCAGTTCAGATTACTTTTCAGCCACTTTTAGTTTTAATATTTAATTTTAGTTTTTTCTATGTTAATTTTGCTCAGTTGCTTGACCCCAACATTTAATTATAAAAGCAATAGGTCCTGGTAAACATACTTACAGGCAATTGTACAATAACTGTGGACTAAAACATGATAAATGTTTAATTGATCTCTGCCTAGTGGAATTTAATGAATAAATTATAGGTAAATCCATCCAAAAACCTTAACCTTCTTTTGAGTTGTCTTGCATCAATACTAACTAATATTACACAGAAGAAATCACAGAAAAAGTAATAACAACAAAACCTGCAGTTGACCACAGCGCACCACAGCTGTTAGTGTAGATTTGTTTTGAGCAACATTGTCTTTGTTGTGAATATAAAAGTAATTGTTATAAACAAAACTGGAAAATTAGAAACTGTGTTGATTTTGTTGTTTTAGTCTTTTCCTTCATATAAAACCAGAAGCTGGATGAAAGAAGTTATTCTTGGGGATTTTTCAAAAGCCATCCTGGGAAATATTGGGAATCACTACATGAGTTAGGAGCTGACAGACAGACTGAGGGAACCTGCTGCATCAAAAAATGACATGATCACAAAGTCCCTCCTGGTGAACATAGAACATCACAGACTGATGACACATAACAGTGTAAAAGTATGAGAGAGGATGTTTTTCTTTTAGAGTGCAGTAGTACTGGCAGTGAACTAACTGAACACTGGACATATCAGCATAAGATACTGTGCTTTATTTTTCTTGTAATGTCTTAACACAAAGACCCGTTGACCAGTTGTTGAGGATGACTGAGCTATATGCACCTCATCTTCTGATTTTTACGTTTTACTTTTTTAATGATGACATTCAAGAGTTGCTGAGTTGAGCTACAATGGATACTTTTATCATTTCCATTCATTCCTGATCATGCTGATTTGTGTACAAGTGGTCATTTTTCTGGTAAGTGCATTTTTAATAATCTTGCGTACCAGTCGAAGGGTGTCATTCCCAAAATGAGTAGCAACATGTCTGTGCAGATTCTTAGTCATCCAGGTCATAGTAAACTGAAAAAACCTTAGAAAAAATCAACTCTGAGAGGTGAAACGTCTTCGATCTAGAAATCTAAGTCCAGTAGATTTTTTCTAAGGTTTTTTCATTTTTAATAAATTATTTGATGATATAAAAAAGGGTGTATTTCAAAAGATTTGACAGCTTTGATTGGGGGTCTCATATGCCACTCAGCTATTCAGTCACTACTACTCATTATCTGTTTGCAAAATGTCAAGATGGTATTCACAATATTTTGGCTTCACTTTTGCATAGTGGAGGTACCGTTGTCCTTCTAAATACACAGTCTGTGGTTTGAATTAATAAGAGAATGCCTGGATCATTTGTTAATGGTAAGTCACATTAATTCATTATAGCAGTATCTTGCAAGAATTGATGCATTCAACTTGAATTGGTTAACTATTACTTAGTATATGATTTGTAGCCTTACTGTAAAGTGTTATCATCAAAACAATATTAATGTAGTATTTACTTATATGTTAATATGAGATCATTGCATTTTATGAATTGCCAACTTTGTGTTTATTATGGGAGGTTAATGATACATATTGTTCCTCTCAATAATGACATGTCATTTTATTGTATTCTAGACTCTTTTGGCCTGAAAGATACACAACACCCAATACATGAAAACTAACACTTGATGCAAAAACAACACTTGAACATCCTGGCACTAATTGGGAGATGGCCAATTTCATATCTGTTCTGTGTGATTGCCTATACATTGTTTTAATACAGCCAAATTTATGATATTGTTCTTATTTAGGCTACATACCTTTCTGTTCTCCCAAACTGGCACACAGTGCAGCCAGATCTGTGCCTATATTTGCTGTTATTTTTTGAAATATCTCAAAATTTTCATGTCCACTTCAGGACAATTTGTAACATCTTTGGTGATCCCTGGCTAGCACTGTTATCAGGGGAAATTTAAATGTGCCCTATACTATAGGGTATGACTAAATACCTATAAAACGTATGCCATTTCCAGCAGCCTCTGCTCTACTTTGGATTCCTTCCAGTTATAGCTTCATGCTGTAGATGTTCAGTCTTTTTTAAATCTATTTTAAAACATAATAAATGAAATAAAAGCATAAACACAAACACACCATATTGATAAAAGACAAGTCAAAGGAAAATCTTGCACCACTGATTCTCATTCTGGAGCTCATTACCAGACTAAAGTTCAGAAAACAGACTTGGCTTGACACAACAACACAACTGCAAGGAAAAATAATGAACACACACTGAAAATGCTAAAGACAATTTATTAGTAGACACTCATCAGCCAGAAGTAATAACTACCTGAAGAACGTCTTCCTGAAATACACCATTTGATTGGCAGTGTAAAATAAGGCAAAGGGCTTAAGATCATGTTTTATACACTTTTGCACCAACAATAAACAGTTATACATTCACTTGCTATTGTAATTATGCTTTTGATATTTCTGTCCATACACCCACACACCAAATAAAAACTTGATTAGCTGCAGGGCAGGGACTGCCAGAATATTTGCAAGAGTAATACTCATCATAATGCAATAGCTGTTTTTGCCAGACATTGGTTATACTGACACCGAATCTGACCACAACCTTAACAAAGATTAGAATCTGAAAATGCAAAACCCAACACGCTATACTGACAAAAGTTCAAACAGTTACCACCATAATTCAAAAGTCAATTATACTGTGTATAGATTTAAATAATATTAATTTCTCTTTACTCATAGACAAATACAGTACACCTTTTGTTAAGTAAGCTTTTGCTACATAAAACACATTTTCAGGGAGCTGTGAAGCATAAAGCAGAATAGTGGCTGCAGCATTATAGAAGAATAGCAATAGGTTGTTGTCCAGCAGAATATAAAATGTAACCCACTCTGATTGCAGCCGGACTTGTTTTCTTACTTTGTATGTTGTTTATTCAAGATATTTAGTCCACACATTTCTTTGCACTGATGTCATAGTCATCATATTTAGTCAGGTCTTCATTGCACTTGCATGTTTCATCACAGTGAACCAAAAATATTTAAACTCAACTTTCATTTGGAGGAACCTTGACTGGATTCTCCCGTCCATGTAATCATGATGTAAAGAGCACAAATAATTTGATTAATGATTGCGTTTCTTTCTTTCTTCTTTTTTACCCTGTATAATCTCATTATAGTTTTTTAGTGTTTAGGTTGGACTGTTTAGGACCTAAGAATGGCTGGTCTCTGCAGTTTCCACTATAGAACATTTTGCTTCAGAAAAATTGTTTTATGATCTTAGTGCCAGCTGAGTGGTGTGTTGGGAATATTGCAGTCCAGTAACATTATAACCAGAATACTGTACCTGCAAAATGCGCTGCTAGCAGTGTGTGTATATATACATCCAAAATATGTGGGGGAAAAAGACTGTAAAACATCTGAACAGCTTATTCAGTAACACACACACACACACACACACACACACACACACGCGCGCACACAGTAGAGACGCTATGGGTGAAAATGTCAGGATGGGTAACTTGGTGGAATGCAGCTTATCTGTACAGGGTCTGTTATGCCTATGAGAGACCAAACAGAAAGTAATTGAAGAGTTAATTTCCAAAATGTTTTATATCCATTTTTATCTCAAAAAGTATCTTTTGCTGTCTCCATAGCACTGAGTGGTAAATAATCATCAATCAAACATACTAATCTTTTACACTTTAAATAGTATTGCAAATTTATTCAGTTGTTGAGATTTGTGGTTTTCATATGGTGGATACTTTGTTTTTGGAAAGAAACTCTTTAGTTACACACTACTCTACACTGGTATTACTGAAAGAACATGACATCAAAAAGGAAAGAAACAAACCTTCACCAAGAAGCACTGAATATATATATTTCAGAAATACATTTAAAAATATATAGTCATCTGAATGCCCATTATACAATATTACACAGTATTGTCAGAAAAAAGCCTATATGGTGGTGTACTGTACGTAGAAGAGTTGTGATACATACAGAGGATATGGAGTTGCTGACAGTGAGAGATCTGTAGGTGACAGCTGTCCAGGGCGAGTCAAGTGTGACAGATGAAGAAGTCAGGGCATGCTCTTTTTGCCTCATCCTGGTCAGAATGTCCAAATCATCATTTTGTACCCTGCAAGTACCTGGATGTCCTGTGTTTAACAATCCAAGTAAATACCTGGAGTAATGGGGGAGCTAAATGTGTGGACCTGTACTGTATGTGTTAGACTAAAGCACAAACCTAAACCACAAATTTAGAAGTACAAAAATGCTACGATAAGTGCACACAGCTTCCAAGTGGGCAGCACTGGACACTTTTTAAAGATTTATATTATTTATAGTGTTTTGTTTTGTTATGGTTTCTGTTTAGTAAAACCATTTATATGTAATATCTGTATTAGTATGCATTAATAGATAGAGGTATACTTGTGCCTAACTTGCCGTAAGTCAAATAGTAAATGCAAATATTTTAAATAAAACAGGAGTTCATTTAAAAAGAAAAATCTTTTGCAGTAAATGGCAGGGTGGTTGACGGTGATTGAGTTGTACCTGAGGTCAACCAAAGATTAAATATTCCTCAATGTTGAAAGGAGTTGTTAGGAGTTCACATACGTAACATGTTGTACTGTATACTGAAACCATCTGTTAACTTGGAGATGTGATTAAAATCTACATTAAACCCCACCTACATGTTGCCTATGTTGAATTAAACCATAAAACACATTTGCAAATGTTATTTGACTCACACAGTAAGGCATAATTTAAAGCCTGTTGAACAATAATAAAGTTTTCTTTAGAAGCGTAACATTTATGTATAATTAAAAAAAAAAAAACACCTCACCATGTGCTAGCACTGAATAAATGCTTTGCATTTCAGGACAATTTAATGCATTTAATATGGCACCACATGAATCTTTTCATCTCATAGCTGTCTGAAAAATGAAGATAATCTAGAGTAGTAGAAATGTATTAAGAAAAAATTGCTTTTGTTACATGCAGAGGAAGTTTGGTCTCTGATTTCTCTGCTTAGAATCAAAGAGCCATGTAAGCATGTGAGTGAACCTCTTTATGTTAAGACTGCTATCATGGTAGAGATGTAGACGCAGTGGAATGTGACTGTGATTCAAGAGTCTTGAGAAGACTCAGTCAATATAAATCTTTAAAAGGCTTGGAATAGTTAAACATCAGATAGTCCATGTAGTAGAAGTCATAGACTCGCTGCTTCTGCAACATGCTAACCAGTGAAAAGTATTTCTGTGTGACCTGCGTAGAGGTCCTCCTGTCAGCTGGGTTCCTGTCTTTAAAAGTAGGCAGCGTGAGGTTGGATGGTGCCCCAATCCATCGCAGGAGAAAGTTTGATTCTTCCTCCATGTTCTCAAACTTGCCGATGAAGTCGTAGTGTATTAGACAAGGGTGGCAGAGCTGATTCACCTGCTCCCAGTGGATGTCCATCCCAACGGGCCGGCGGACATCCAGTAGGTACTGGACAAACTCCTTGAATATGACCCCGTTGCCTGTATTCAGGGCTGCCTTGGATGGATTCACCCTGTACTTGGAGATGATGGGTTTCCCAAACAGCGAGTGGTAGTAGCTGTTTGGATTTTCAAACTTGTCCCTGAAGGCTGACACCAGTCTCTCCAAGGGTTCTCGGACAAATATGACTTTAGTGTAGGTTTCCAGACGGTGCATGATTTCCTGTCGATCAAAGCTGTTAAGTGTCTTGAGATGTTGACCATAGTGGACTGTCTCATGATTAATGCTGTGAGTATTTGGGGCCTGTCCTGCCAGCACCATCAGGGTCCTCTTCCAGTTGGAACAGCCTGCCTTGGGTACTTGGCAGTACAGCAACTTGTACTTATCCTCCACAAAGAGGTTTCTCACATAATGAGGTGTGATGGTCTTGTAAGTACTGCTTGCGTACTTACCACACATCTCCTTCATCAGTTTCCGCCGTTCTGCCTGGATGTCAGAAAATTTTTTCAATCTGTCAGGGGTAAAAGAGCTTGAAGTAGAGGAGGCAGAAGAGGATGAAACATTATTTTTGGTGTGACTTGTTTTCAACAGTTTGCGGTGTCTTTTTGAGAGATGAAGGGAGCCTATGTCCTGCTCTCGAGACTCAGGGGTATCTGTCTGTCTGCTCTTTTCAAAATGTGGGAACTGCATTGGCGGTATTGGGCTGGACAAGATGCCTTCTCCTGCTTGGTGATCCACAAAGTTGTCAGCTTTGTTTCTCTCTCTGTCCTGCATCAAAGGAGTAAAAAAAAAAACAAACAAACAAACAAATAAATGAATAAACAAACAAAAAACAATGATAACAGTTTCTAATAAAAGGTAGCAGACATGTATTTATACATTTTCAGCTGATAATGTGGATATACATGCAAGAACATATCATTTATAATTCTTAATCTCATTTCCTCTGTCAGATAACTTCAGTACTCAAATGGGCCACTGGATGGTGCTGTTTTACCACAGCTTAAACAAAGTCTAACTGCCACAGACAAATGTCACACACTGCCCAGCGCCATCCATGACCTATCAACAAACTGAGCTGTAAAATCATGTAATGTCTTATAAACACTTAATGGGGTAAATTAGAAACATCTAATGCCTGATTACCATCGGATGATGCCCAAGGCCATCAGGCATTTTGACATTTTATTTCAATTAAATGCTGGAATGGCATCATAAAGCCAGCTGACTGAATGAATTTTACAAGAGACAAGGTGATGAGACTGTAATGAATCTCAGATCCTCCCCTTCCTGACTTAAATCCTCATATTCTTTCAACTGAAAAAAGCAGGGGGCGAATATGGGGCGCAACCTGTATACCAGACATCACCTTGTCTTGAGTTTGCACTGGTGTGAGACTCAATCTGACATAGAAACCTCATTTATGGATTGTCTTGGGTTCAGTGTTTGACCGGAGACAAATTGCTTGAGTGTGTAACACACTTGGCCAATGAAAGTGATTATTATTATCAAGATGTGGTTCAAATCCTAAATACAAGCCTTCATAATGATACATGGCAATTTAGGACATATTTGTACACTATGTGTACAAAGAAATGGTTAGTTATAATTAGCTTTTAATTTTATCCATTAATGCTTGAAAAGTCTGAATGAATAAATGAGCTTCTTATGAGGCCACACAAATTTTGTACATACAGTAAATTCAGGCCTACTTGTAACTGAAAAGAATAAGCTAATTATGGATGTTAAACAAACACATAAATACAAGAACTGAAGCTTTTACTGTAAGACAAAAACTAAGTGTGATCACACTCTGAGGAACCTCAGTTTATTCAGTAAAGTCTGACACAGTGAATGCACAGTGTGAGGTCAGCCTATCTACACAAATGCTATCAGACATACTGAGAGGTACAAAGCTGACAATCACTTTTTGCAATAGATAACAAGTGGGCGCAACCTAGTATCTGTGTTTTTGGAGAAATGGAGTAAACACGTACCTCTGTGGACTGCCGCAGATTGCTCCTGAGCTTCACACCTGGGGTGAGAAAAGAGAAAACAGTCAGGAAAATCAGCACCTACTTTAAGTAAACAACATACATTTTCGGTCTATGTAGAAGAGAGCTTGGTGCCTCTGATGCATCAGAGACTCCAGTAATTTAATGCTTCCTGTCACTTAACACATCTCCTTTTGATCCCTGGCAAACCACCAGGTTCTACTAGTCCTCAGAGGGAAGAGAGATAGCTGTGTAATGAGCTGCCATGAAAAGTTGGTAAATGAGTTCTTGGTAGCAAGAACTGAGGATGAGATGGGAAGAAAAAAGCACAAGTCAGAGTGGAGAAAATGTTACTGGCTTTAATTTGAGAGAAAGAAAGAAAGAAAGAAAGAAAGAAAGAAAGAAAGAAAGAAAGAAAGAAAGAAAGAAAGAGAGCCAGCAAACCATAAAAGGAAACAATGAAAATGTGAAAAAGATGTAGTTTGTAGACCAGAAGAAAGACAAATAGAAGAAAGGGTGCAGTTTTTTGAATTTGTAAAAGGCAATAGGCGAGTGATAGAGACATACAGCTTGGTTTTGTGGCAGTCTTGGGGACAGGTGGTATATGTATTGGCAGATGTGTGGCAGCAGGACAGACGATGTGTTTAGTGGTCTGTCTCCAGCTGGACATCTCCTTTCCTTAGTTCCTACTGTTCTACTGATAAGTAATCAGGCTGACAGCTATGAGTGGGGCTGCATGGCTGTTGATGGGGGAAGACACCTCTGCCTGAGTGCTCTGTCACTTCCAGTTTGAGGGTGGAAGTGATTGGAACCTGCATGGGGTGGGAGGTGGAGGCTGTAGATGCAACCCACAACCTCCCTAAGCAATGAGATCTGTAGAGCTCTATCTCAAATCTAAACATGCTTCAGTGGGTAGGGAATAAAATGTGTTGTCCAGTTGCAGTGTTGTTTTAGATGAGTATGTGCTGCAGAACTCTATGCTGCTGTCTGACTATATGCATTGACTTTTTACTTATCTCCATTCGTCTGAAGAAGACATTGGAGGAAGAGGCAGAGGAGGAAAAAACAAGGAGTGGGCCAAGGAGTGGCTTGTTTTTGATCTTGCTTGGATGCTGCTGTGCTATTTAATCTCCTAAACATACTGCAATGTAGGATGTGCATCTTTGATATTGATATTTACATCAGCACATATGAAGCACATACTTATACCATACTTATGACAACACACACAGACATTGCTAGGGAAACATAGCTGTCTGTTGTTCTAAGCTGATTGAGCAGCACCAGCCCCTTGAAGCCCTCACCATTTTGTCAAGACACATGCTTGGTTATTGATCTTGAAAACCCCATCATGATGGTAGCTGAAATCTCCAAATGTTTAATTGGCTACTTCTAAGAGATGTTTTGCCTGGCATTTGTTACAGGTTTGTCATAGTCGGTGATGCCAATGCTGTTGCATTTTCCCACTCGTTAAGCCCTTTATTTTGACAGCATGTTGAACCACTGACACAATTCAGGACAAAAACAGATGACATATGTATTTAGTTTCTTGAATATATGGCCTTTATTTCTATTCTTTGTTTTGCAAAGGGAAAGGTTTTGAGACATAGATTCAAGGTACTGAACTGGGCATATAGAGCCACAGTTGTCCTGTTCAGCACTCTGTGGTGAAATTGTCTTGTTAAAATTGTTTTGAAAATTAATCTGACATGGCTTGATTTGATTTGATAAATCTACTCTTAAAATTTGTTACAAATGAGGTTTGATTTCTGGCTCTGAAAATGCAATATTCTCTCAAACAGGAAAACAAAATTACATTTCATGAGAGCAACATTTTTCATTGATAGAGTATAACTGAAACAAGTAATATAACAATGTAAACGGGATTTCAGGGGGATTTGTAAACATCATTTGTATCTGTAGTATCTTACTGGTTGAAGGAAATAGTTGCTGTTTGATTGCAATTTCACACTCAGTCAATTCCACTCAGTATAACTATGCTATTGATTTTTACTGCTGTGCAGTGAAACAGTGATGGATTGTTAAGACAGGATTCATCCTGTGAGATGCAGAAAACTAATCCTTCTAATGCAGGAGATGGAGAACAGATGCAGTAGCTATAATAGAAGCCAGAGTTTCCCATTTTGTACATATGAATGTCTAAAACTGAATGTATAACTTTGAAAGTTGGTTGAGGTAGTTATTACTGTATACAGGTTTGTTGCTACCGTATACTGTAGCATATACAGGAAGGAGTCTCTGCAGAGCTAATGGAGAGATTCCGGGTAAATGCACCGATGGGGAATTCAATAATGGGAGAAAAGCTGTCCACCAATAAGGTTGAAGTTGTTTTTATCCCCAGACATCAAAAGTCATATTCTAGTCTCTCTGCTTTTGAGCTTCTACAGGGTTCCATTAAATTCATACAAATATCAAACTCCATCTTCAAAGCATAGATCAAAAGAAAGTGTCTGATCTGTTTTGTCTGTTTTGCCCAGATTCTCAGGTATTTCACTGCAACTTTGCTGATGATGGAAGCTGATTTAAAAGTAGAACCGGCTTTTAGGCCTGGCCCGTTGCCCTCAAAAATAACCTTGAATATCCACTACTCATTCAGAGACAAAGCCTCTAAATATTTATTCAGACAACCCAATGTTACTGCAAGGATCCACACAACCAAGGGCCATGTCTTTGGCATTTCAGTTACTATCCTTCCCTCTCAAAGACTCTTGTACAACTTTCTAACAAAGACACTCATTGACATGCTTTTTCCTGCCACCACTGCTGAGGAAGAGCAAAGGATAAAAACAGTGAGAAATAATGAGCTTGTTAAGTAAAGGGTTATGACCCCACGTTCTAGGAGAACTTGTTAAATGCACAGTTTTAACCAGAGGCAGGCCAGGAGGGTGCTAGAAGCCAGACAAGGCGTGTCCTCCTCCAGCCCACTATTCAGACTAGGCACTCATGCTGCACCACTATAAACCTTTCATTAGTCATTCAACACACTGAGCAGCTGTGACCCCAACCAGCTGCACTCCCTTCTCTACCCAACAAACCACCCACACCTACACTCAGCACACATGCTCCTCCTCCACTTGACTCTGTGTGGGAATACAGGGCTCTGGCATGCTGGTGTGCTGTATTAGAGGAAAAATGCTTGAGAACAGAGGTATTAGCTTTAAGCTGTGGTCCATTGATGTTTTAACTTGTTGTGGTAAGAGATAAAATGAGGTTTCAGTTGGTGCTAAAATCGTGCAGGACTGGGCCAGAGAGAGCAGCTGCTGGGGAGGATGAGATGATGGGTGAGCAATCAATGATTCTGGAATGAAGATTACAGAGGCTCGCTAAAGACCAAACACAGCCCAGCTCAAATTTGCATGTATTGCGATCTGAAGACTGCCTTATGAAAGGTTTGGAAACTTTAAAACTGTCTTACAGTAGGTGGTCAGCTTTGGCCAGGAATAAATCACTAGCACTAGAATCTTTAATCCCACCAGTTATGATGCGCCACAAACGCAACAAATAAAGACACCAAGAAACAGATTCTCCCCACTGATTCAGTAGTAGCAACCGTGATGCCATACCAGACTCAGTCAGTTGGTAGGATTTAGTATTGGAAGAGATTAGCAGACTAGCAGACATTGCCTAATATGACAAAATATTGTTTTACATATTAATCCGAACTGCTGAATATGAAACATTCAGAGGCCTTGTAGGAATAGCCATATTGGACAATTCTGCACCTAATGATTTACATACAATGCCCAGTAGTTCAAAGCAGCTAAGTACTTAAGTTCTTATGTATTCAAGTACTGAACCTAAGTATAATTGTAGTACTGTATGTCTTTTGGCAGTTGACTGCCCTTATTAGAGACAGCAGAGAGATGACAGGAAACAGGGCAGAGAGTGATGCAATCTCTGATGTTGTGGCTCATGTCCGGCATCTTAACCCCTAAGCTACAAGGGCGCCCCACTTAAGTGCAGATTTGGTCTACTTGAACTCTACTGACATGCTTTCTATTTTGAGATATTTTATTCTACTTGATCCTTCTACTGCACCACATTTCAAAAGGAAATATGTTTTTGAGATGTATTTATCTGACAGACTAACATTTCACAAAAAACAGATAGGATCGTCTTATGAAATCTACTCTGCACTGCCAAACGTTACCAAACTACCTTCATTATGTGACGTTGCTCCACCTCAACCAACTACAGTGTTGCTGCTTACATTTTAATGCATCACCTTCATAATAATAACCAAAAATGATAATATATAAACATCTTTACAGATGCATGGCAGTTAGTACTGTGGCCTAACAGAACACTGCACCCTACTGGGAACCTTCTGTGTGGAGTTTGTATACTCTCCCCCAAATGGTTGGGCTCTCCGTGGGCACAGAAATACAGGTTAGGTTGACTGGCAACTCCAAATTGGCCGTAGGTGGAAGTGGTTGTGTGTCTGTGATAGACTGACAACCTGCCCAGGTTGTACCCCTACCCAGTGTCAGCTGGGAACAGCTCCAGTATGTTCCCCAGCTTTTGGCTAATTGTCTCTGTCCGCTGTCTGCCCAACAGCAGACAGTGGACCATGGGTTTTTAGAGCTTTCTTGCTGAAAATAGTTGTGTGAGTGCAGGCAGTGTTGTCAATTTGCACCCTATTCACACTGCAGCTAAATGTAAACTTGTAAACAGTGTTTTGCCAACCAGTGGTGTGTATTAACCTATCTCTCAAGCTCCCCTCCTAAACTCCATCATGACATTCTTCTGACCTCATCAATGCAATTCCTTTTTACTGCCCCTCAGAGGATGCAGGCGAGGGTAGAGTTATTAGTGAGACCCATTAATTATATTATATTTAAGATATCAAGAACGGGTTCCCTTCCACCTCTGACCTCATATGAAGTGCTGGGAAGACATGTAAATCAGCAATATGTACTGTCTATTTGTTGAAATACAAAAAAAAAAGAGGACACTTCCTTCAGTTAGCCCCCAACACACACGCACACACACACACACACGAACACACATATTAAATTGG